TAGAAAAATATTTCAGGGGGGGGGCATTTTATCACTTTTTGAAAATGTTTAAAAAGGAGGTCAAATTCGATTTTTTTCGATATTTGACGGAGATGATGGCATAGAGCAACTTTTTCAAGATGAATCGCTTCGTTACACGTCAGGCAATCTTAGTTCATGATACGAGCACTCTAGCGCTATTATGGCGGGAAATATGAAATTTATTCCAAGGTACAACCGTCCCGAGGTACAAACCTCTCTCCTACTCGAGTGATCCAGAATTTGCTCTGAACATAAAATATCTGTCCGCTTTGGCTTTAGTTCCAAAAGAGGAGGTGGACGAAGAATTTCAAAGTTTACTGGACACTGAATTTTATAGAAAAAAAACGAAGACCTCCTGACCGTTCTTATTAACTAGGTCCTTCGAAGATACGTGGATTGGGCACTTCGACAGGCGCGGGCGTAAACGAAAACCTCTTATTCCTATTGAAGTGTACAACTGTTTTCTATCAATCACGGATGGACTGCCTCGCACCAATAACCCAGTCGAAGTTAGGCACAACTCGCTAGCCGCCATTCTTAACGCCAAGCACCCATCTACAGGGTGTTCGAAAAGTCCCCTCCCCCCCCTCTAACTTTTGACCTAATTGAGGTAGAGATTTGAAACTTGGAGGGTGTTCCTAGATCAAAGGGAGCTACTTTTTGACCCCCCCAAAATTTTGGGGGGGGGCCCATTTTGAGGGGGTTACGGACCCTAACTTTTAATTTTCAAACAGGAAGACCCCCTTTGTGATACCTCGTTCGAAAGAGCATAAAAAAAGAAAATTTTTCGCGCAAACCGGAAGTCATTATCTCAAACCGTTTCAAAATGGCGGCCGGTCAAAGTTCCAAATGGCCGAAAATTGGCACCTCTGCTATTTGCACATGGATTTGCTTGAAACTCGGTATCTGAGGGTATTTTGGCACGAGAAAAACGAGTTTAACGTTAGATTTTCAAAAAAACCCTAATTTTTCAAAATGGCGACCGGTTTAGGCTCAAAAAGGCCGAAAATTTGACAAACTCGATTTTTTTGCCAATGGATTCACCTGAAATTCGGTATCTGGGGGTATTTTGACCCGAGAATAACGAATTCAACGTTAGATTTTTAAAAAAAACCCTAATTTTTCAAAATGGCCGCCGATTAAAGTTCAAAATGGTCAACAATTGGCAACCTCGACTTTTTGCCGATAGATTCGCCTCAAACTCGGTGAAATAACGTCGAATTCGTTTGTCTCCCACCCAGATACCCTCAAACACCGAGTTTGAGGCGAATCTATTGGGAAAAAGGCGAGGTTGCCAATTGTTGACCATTTTGAACTTTAATCGGCGGCCATTTTGAAAAATTAGGGTTTTTTTTAAAAATCTAACGTTGAATTCGTTACACGGAAAAAAAAGTACTGTCATTTTAATCGTCGCGACTGCTAAAGGAACAGTCATTGGATGTTAAAAAACGGCACAGCATCCCGGCTTTTAAAATAACATTACCTTTGTCTGTTATTATAACAGTCGCTTTGCTTTCACATTGACAGTAAATGAATGTAACAATGACAACAAAATCTGCTCAACCTACATCAACTAGTCTGTTACACTAGCAGCGCAGCTGCTGGCGTAAGCGTCGGTTCCCCATCAGATTGACGCTCACGCTGCTTTCGATTTAACAGCGGCCGCTGCTGTCGAAAAAGCAGCGTCGCTGTTTTCATGACAGCCGGTTCGTCTTTGAATTTAAATCCACGTTGCTGTCGATGCAGCAGCGCTGCTGCTCATGTAAACGCAAATTAGCTTTTGAATTTTCATTCACACTGCTGTTAATGTGGCAGACACGATGCCACGCAGCACGCAGCTGTAAAAAATCATGGTCATATACTTACATGCTTATGTAAATAGCTGATAATTGCTTAACTGGTTTCAAGTAAATGATACAAAAACCGTAGATAATATTCCGATCAAAGTAACATTTACAGACTAAATCAGTTTCACAATGAGTTAATTTCAAAAAAATTAAACAGCTTAAATGCACAAAAACACAACACAAAGTATACATCTTTGCAGTTCTCGGTGGAGCAGAATTAATCATGGCTTAGGGGTCGTCAACAAATTAAGTGAGGCACATTTTAAACCCGCCCTCTCCATCGGTTATTTTCTTTTTTCCAAAAAATCCAACTTATCACTCGCGGCCTGGTCAGATATCGCACATACCTACACTGTATTACACATTGAAACACTTTACGTCATTAAGACAATGTCACGTTGGCGTCATTAATAAAAAACAACGTAAGGACCAAACAGCCGATTGTGCTTATGAGTTAAAATCACGGAGAATGTATTATAAAAGGTTTCAAAAAATTCTACCAAGATTAGGATTTGCTAAATTATCACTTCATTTCATTTCAAAACAGCCTAGATTTCTTTAAACTTAAAAAAGGAAAAAATCACACAATGGAATTAGGATTCTGCAAAAAAAAACCATCGGAAAGTATAGAAGATAGGGCTGATAGTATAATCTACGGGAAACGAAATCAAAACCGTGCCTGCATATAAATATGTAAGGCACGCTAAAAATGATAATTGTATGCACTGAACGCAAATCTAATTGAGTCGAGAGTGCGTGTAATGTCAATGGTGAAGTTGAAACCAAAAAACACAAATATACGGCAGAAGAAATTCCGAGTTGAACGAATTCATGATGATGCCTCAAAAAATGGCGTCTGCCCGCAACTGATTCCAGTGTGCCCAAATTTGCTTATATCGTAAGAGTTACTTTCCTATGGAGCTACTAATTTTGCAGATCGCGCACTGAGTATCAAAACTAATCACTTTCTTTGCCAAAATTCACTCACAAACACAATTTGAGCACGATTTCGAAACGCAAGCGCAAGACTTCTCTGACTCAAAACCACTAACTGATGAGCAAACGAAATCCTTTAAAACAGTGACATGGCAATGGCCGCCTCAGCGAACAGACTGGAATGCGCGAACAACGCCGAAGGAAGAAACGGCCGAACACCGGGCCCGGGCGGTTACAGTTCTGAGAATTTCCCTGACCGGGCCCATTGTCAGGTTGGCGCGCAAGCGCAACCCTCGAGAAGGATGGTGGACAGTGGAGGCTGGAGGGTAAGGAGAGGTTTTCTGCGTCACCGCTCGTAGCGGGGGTGGGGCGATCGACGACTGTATATAACTGCGCATGCGCTCTGCGCCGATCGCACAGGACTGGCCGGGATGGGATGCTCCGTGCAACGGTCAGCATTTTACAGTCAACCCGCTGTTAAATTGTCCGCTGCTATTTCAACACCCTCGATGTTGCTTTAGCAGATTATTTCTGCGAATTTAACGGCCTTCAAAACATTAGACCAACACCTGCCCCAATGTAAATTTAATATCCGAACGAATGTCAAAATAACGTGTGGACTGTAAAATGAAAAGCCAATGACAGTCATTCCAAGAGCTTCAGGAACGTTAATTTAATGAATCGCACCTGACGTTAACTCAACAGCCGTGCGATGACGGAATAACATACAGAATGTTATTTCAAAAGCATCAATAAGATGTTGAGCTAACAGATTTGCATACTTTTGTTTCAACATACTTAAAATGTTCAATTAGCAGTCACAACAAGTAAAAGAACAGAGAAACGTCAAACAAATTTAACATTCAATGTGACTGTTAAAATGACAGTTCTTTTTTTTCCGTGTATTCTCGGGTCAAAATACCCCCAGATACCGAATTTCAGGTGAATCCATTGGCAAAAAAATCGAGTTTGTCAAATTTTCGGCCTTTTTGAGCCTAAACCGGTCGCCATTTTGAAAAATTAGGGTTTTTTTGAAAATCTAACGTTAAATTCGTTTTTCTCGTGCCAAAATATCCCCAGATACCGAGTTTCAAGCAAATCCATGTGCAAATAGCAGAGGTGCCAATTTTCGGCCATTTGGAACTTTGACCGGCCGCCATTTTGAAACGGTTTGAGATAATGACTTCCGGTTTGCGCGAAAAATTTTCTTTTTTTATGCTCTTTCGAACGAGGTATCACAAAGGGGGTCTTCCTATTTGAAAATTAAAAGTTAGGGTCCGTAACCCCCCCAAAATGGGACCCCCCAAAATTTTGGGGGGGTCAAAAAGTAGCTCCCTTTGATCTAGGAACACCCTCCAAGTTTCAAATCTCTACCTCAATTAGGTCAAAAGTTAGAGGGGGGGAGGGGACTTTTCAAACACCCTGTATATGGAAGGTACTTAATAAATGTATTTAAAAAAGAGGAACAAGTGTACAGGAAAAAAATTGAAGATGTTGTTGCCGGGAAACCCCTCGCTTCGCAACAAAAAAAGTACCGCAATCTCACGCAACGGCTTAAAACTATCTGCGCCGACCTCCAAAACCGCCCAATAGATGAGTTCTTCCGCGGTATCGGAAAGAATTTAAGCTACATTCTACACGGAATTTTGTTAATTTTAATTTCCTCATCATTTTGACAAGGGCTCTCCACACCCACTCTATCCTTAATCACACTCGGTCGCGCAACCAATTTTCCTGTACTCTCGTCATAAAACTCACACGGATCAGCTGATGAAACATGGAACAATGAAAGGTAAAATAGAAATGGCCAAAAAAATGGTGGTATTTTTTCAGTCGAGATTTTGTCGCGGCGGGACTTTGACCGCGGGGTTATGTCGATAAATCACCGTATGTATATTATTTTCAAGTTCAGCCCAATTTCTGATTGTTTCCTTCGTCAGAAAGTGAGAAAGAAAATTGACATTTTAAAAATGAAGATCTTTGGTGCTTCTTTGAGTATGTGAATGGAACCGATCATAATATAAGTATCAATTAAAAATGTATGGTCTTGACTCCTTTCGTTGTCTCCATAAGAAATGGAAAAGTGGTCGTGAGTCTGCTTACCTACAAAAAGAGCGAGAAAATCAGATGGTCACGCACTTTTTCTATTCAATGTGGGCTCTTATACTCTATTCGATCATAACATGAGCATTGTACCTGACGATGATGTTGGTTGAGGGGCGGAGACTACACTGCTGGCAGGTGTCGATGATAGGTTGAAAAGATCAATCAAAGTCCCGTTGTTTCTGGTTTCTGTCTCCACCTCTTTTCTTCTTGGTAGCTCAGTCGGGGTGACCGTTGCCATCGGTCTTCGCACCGGCCCGTTGAAAGTCACATCGCTACTTCCCCCTTTCAGCTCGTGGGTGTCATGCTTTTTCTGTGGGTTGCTAGGTAGACTCGAGGGATCCTCAGAGAGCTGTGGAGGACCGTGGGAGTTGGGAATAGTAGGAGTTGCTGGTGAGTGGTCCGTTAACGCACCGAGTTGATCATAGTCGCTGTGTTGCTTGGGATTCTCGTAGGCGGTGTAGTTGATAGACGCCTTTTCGTAGTTTTTAATGCGATGAGACATTGTCACGTTCGTAGAAACCGGCAGTATCGGTCGGAAACCGCGGTTTCCGCCCAGCAACATCGGAATGAACCCACCCTCTTGAATATCTGGTGGATCAGGTGGTCTGATTCGTGGTGGACCGTTGGGAATGTTCGTCGGGTCATTCGTAGTTGATCCCTTATTTTTGCGCCCATCGTTGAATCTTCCTGAAAAATAAAGAGAAGAATGACAATCAAAGCACAGCGACAAGTATGGTGGATACGCACAGGCTTTCCAAGAATACCTCGTTGGCGTTTTAGGTGGAAGTCTTGGTTTTCTCATTGAGATTCCGGTGAAGTGGGACATTGAAAATTTCGAAAATCGAATCATTCTATACCTAGGGACTGTTCATAAATTACACAACGCTCCACGGGGTGATGGGGTCTTTATAACTTTGTGACGAAGCGTGACAAGGGGTGGGGGGGTGTCAAACTCTGTGTTATGTAAAGAAGCGTACATAAAAGATCTTTTTATTTCTTTTCAAGTTTCATATGCCAGATATTTTATGTCTCATTATTTGTTCTCTCTTGAAATAAAGAGCCTGAATCAACAGAGACTATGCTCCTCTCCCATTTTCAGGGAGGAAACTGAGACGTTGGGTGCAGAAAGGGCATTTCTTGATTGCGGTGATTTGAAATCTCTACTGCTAATATATATTTCAGAGAGGAAACGATTGGGCGAATTTTCTGAAATTGTTCGGTTTCGGTAAAATCATAAAGAATATTCAGTAAAAGTTTCAACGAACTCCATTCACTTCCTTTAATTACAATGAATGAAACGTCAGTGGAGATTCTGAGATACCGCACCGCAAGCTAGAAATGCCTTTTTTGCATCCAGCACTTCAATTTCTCTCAAGTTATTTTTGGGGATTCCGATCGCATCCCAAGGGGTGAATGGATGTCAAAAATCGGAAAAACTGCGTAACTTAATTGATGGATAGCCCCATATGCACCGGTAAGTCAGTCAGGTGGACGTTAAACAGACTGAATCAGACTAACAATAAGAAAGGAAGTCAGCCGCGACATTACATTTTGGACGTTACTTTCGTATCAGACTATTGTGTTATCATGGTCAGTGAGTAGCGCTCAGACTGATAATGACTGCTCAGTGAGACAAAGTCAGTCCAGTCAGTCAGACGTTAGACTGGCTCACTCTTAAAGCAAATTTTCGTTCGTCAACTGTTAACAAAATCCGTTAACTGCTGTCCTGTGCGTTAACGAAGTTGGTATTTTCATCAACCAATCAGAGCCTGGTGGCCTGTTTCCGGGACTGTTCATGAGTTTCACTCTCTAACCAGAATCGTCAACAGGTTCGATAACGTGGTTCGGAGCACGTTTACGAAACCGTAATCTGTTGATGAAAATTTAATTATACACTTAATTACGGGCGATTTGGCGAGAAAGGACAGGCCACGCCCATTTAATCACAACCGGAGAACGAAAATTTGTTTTGATGGCGTATTTCGTAAATTTTTTACGGATTTCGTCAACAGTTAACGAGCGAAAATTTGCTTTTGCTGAGGCATTCTCTGGTGCCAAAATGTCAATGTTCCACGAAAAGTAATAACGGCATTAAAACTCCCAGACCACGTATCGTTAGCGTTGTTTAGAGAAACTCCCATTGATTATTTTTTTTAAACATAATCACTAAATCATCAGGAAGACAAATCAACACTATCCCTTGAACTTTTCGCAGAATTAGCCACGCATAGAGAAGAAAAATCACGGAAGCTTTTTCAGAATTGCCGTCCAGTAATTCTCAATTTAAAAAATATAGTGTGACAGAAGTCCACCACGTCGCAAACCGAGTTACGTGATTTGAGAATTTCATCAATGATTGAGCCCTTTCCAGTTGGTGGTTGCATATCATTCATCCGAACCGTTCAAAACGTACATATCACAGTTAGCTATTTTTACATTTTCTTAGGTACCTTACAGACCGTTACAGAGAGGGGGAGAGGGGGAGGAGATACAGAAGAGTGACAGGTAGGCACGTTACAATGTACGAAACGAACTCACCTTAAAAAAGTCTATAAATGGACTAAGAAGACTAAGCAAAGTTTAACGAGTACCATAGTTATGCCATAGTTAAGTTCAACTCAAAGGAGATTTAGCTGCTTGAAGAAGAGAGGCGTTTGATGAAAACATTTCGAAAGTATAGTACCTAGGTAGTGTACTTTCATTAAAAGATACTTAGTTACTTCACAGGGATAAGTTACTTTATGAAGGAACCTATCCCTTAAATTAAGCTTTTAAAGACATATATTTATTACTAAAAGTGTTCTTAGTACATTGGTTCGTATTTTTCTTTTGTACAAAAGAAGAAGAAGAAAAACAGTGTCGCCCCTCATGATATTCTCTTTCCCCTTCTCTCCCTCTCCTCAATCCCTACTCTGATTTCCTCAACTCCTTTTTTCAACGTCCCAACCGAAAACCTCCCCCTTTCTTCCACTTGCGCACCCCACCGATGACGACGATCACCCGCATACAGATGGAGTTAATGCTACAACTAGCGCTAACGGAACCTGGCCTAATTACCAGTGCATGAGCGAAAAGTTGAATAGAACTCTAAAATTCAACCTAAAAAATAAATGAAGAGTGAAGGGGAGATACATGAAGGGAGAAGGCAACGTAGCAACAGGTTGGAGGGGAAACCTAATTTAAAAAGGCCTGTCAGGATAGACTGGGTGTGTTGATGGCCTGATGGTCAAGTTCCAAAAATCGGCTGTGGGAACTTCGAAAGGAGAACCAGCGGTCTCCCACATATTATGTGATATCATAACCATTCTTGTGCCGTGACAAATAGATTCGTGATCGCAACTTAAGGTCAACGTAGTAAGGGGCCCTCCATAAATTAGGTAACGCTCCAAGAGGGGGGTGCCTTTGTCAGCGTTACCGTTGCGTTACAGGGGGGTTGGAGGGGGGTTATAAAACGAGGCGTTACCTACGTAACGAGTTTAAGTAATTTTTTTTCGAGGTTCTGTAGAATTCTTCGTCGGTCTCTTCAGAAGTTTTAAAGTATCTCAAAAATATTCTCTACAATATTTTCATTTTGTCACTAATAGAAACACCAATCCGTTCAGTAAACGAACGGTGATATTTAGATTAATTTTATCTAAACAAGGGGGGTGGTCCGCGGAAGTGTTACGTAATTTTTTAAGAGGGGTTTATCACAGTGTTACGGAACGTTACCGGGGGGGGGGGGGTGTTAAAAAACCGCAACTTTAGCATTATGTAGGTATTTTACGGACGGCCCATAATACGCACTTACATCCTCCCCTGGTGTACGTTGGGTTATATTTTCTTTTTATCCATATCTGAGTTAAGTTATTGATCTTTGTTTTACCCGGTCGAAATAACGCAAAATATTCACTTCTTGTTAGGGTAGGTGGGGGTAAAAGGCCGCATTTTTCCGTTTCGGCCGTCTGTAGGCCGCCGTATCGCGTGAAAATTTCTGGAATGTGGTAAAATATGTGCTAAATACCCTTAGGCACAAAATGGCACACTTTCCAGAATTTTAAAAGCATTTTCGAATTTTTTATGAATTTTTTTCAAAAATTTCGTTAGTGCGGCCTTTTGCCCCAAAAATGGGGAAAGAGGCCGCACTTCCGGAAAAGTTCGTAAAAATTTCGGAAATGCATTCAAAATTCTGGAAACTGTGCCATTTCATGCCTAAGGGTCTAAAGTTGATATTTTACCATATTTCCAGAATTTCCATGCGATACGGCGGCTGACAGACGGCCGCAACGGAAAAGTGTGACCTTTTGCCTCCACCTACCCTAAATTTTAGGATCTTTGGTAATTATTAATAATATTTAGTAAAATATGTAGTAAAAGATTTAGTATTGGTAATATTAGTTGATAGATTAAGTATTAGTGTTATTTTAGTGAAGACCGTATGCGGCCTTTTGCCCCATTGGACCTGCGGCTTTTTGCCCCATTTGATGACGTAGGTAACCATAACCTCAAAATTCTAAGACAAGGCCATTAGTCGAAAAGTGACGGCGGGATATTTAAACCATCCTTATCATTGTTCGAACTGCAGCTCGTCCGAATTTTTCTATCAATTATAAAACTTGAAATTGACCAAAATAAAACTGGAAAAATCGATTTTTTTTTCACGAAAAATCAACTCTCCTCATATTTTCGAGGGAACGCGTCTGTTCGGTCCGAAACTTCGTCAACACAACAGCACCACCACTACCAACATAACTGACACGGTCCCGGTGCCAACCTAAAAAAATTTCGGGAAAAAAGTCGGGTGCGGCCTTTTTCCCCGTGCGGCCTTTTACCCCCACCTACCCTAATAAATATCAGTCCAGTCACCTCAGTTGACATCGTTCAACATAAAAAAATGAATGTTGTTCATATATTCCCGCCTAAAAAGACCAGAAACACATGCGTGTGCTTCGAGACAGGGGATTTCGGTTGGTTTAACAAACGCGCAACAGTTGCACCGAATTCCCTCAACAGTTGCGCCGCGCCGTCGAGACAAGGTCTTATGCGTCACTTCACTGCGTCGCCGGGGCGTGGCGTTCCGAGTGCGTTTACTTGTTCGCCTTCACTGTATATAAATAGGCAATCTCTCAACTTAGGAGCATGTTGATTTGTATCTTGTTTTTCCGTGCTTTACATTATGTATACATAGCGCCAAAAACGGCGGGTGTGTAAGTCCTGAGGCACTCACCTCGATCATTCCTGGTGGTACTCCAGAAGTTTCCCAAGTTTAGAGGCGGAATGGGCACCCCAAAGAAGGAGAATGTGCCGCTGGGGTTGGCGGTCGTATTGCTCTTCAGTGGAGTCGGGCGCGTGGGCGGTGTGACATTGAGATGAGCGTGAGGGTTGGAGTGAGAGTTGGTTGGCGGGTGTGGACGCGTCCCAGCGTAAAGCGTAGGCGTGTCGCCAGGAATATAGTGGGAGAGCACTTCGGGGGGAATTTCTGAGGAGGAGAGTTCCGCTAAGGAATGCGGAGGCTGCGACGTTGCATGCTCAACTGAAGTTTGGTACGAGTGCCCGCTTGTGGGAATGTGGCTGTGGTTGACATGGGGGGATAAGGCTGGCACGTTATGAATCGGCAGGTCAACAAACCCTTTATCGAAGTAGTCTGTGTCTTCGGGCAGTGGTTTCAAGTGGAATGGTCGCTGCGTGATATGCGTCGAGGCATTAATTTCGTTCCAGGCCGACATCGACTGAGAGGAGCCAGGGGGCGCTGTAACACAATTTTTATTCATCAATTAACAAGCTGTAAGCAAACTCTACCCCCCCCCCTTCCTTCACAGTTTCTGTAACCTCCAATTTATGCAGTCAGCGATTTTGTACAATTCACGAGCAATTAGCTTGACACGGCCGTAGTGTAACACTTACATCAAATATAAGAAGATTGCCAAGAAAAAGTTTTTTTATTACACTAGATAATTTCCGATTACCCTCGTGAATCAAATTGCACAAAGAACTAATGACGAATCCAATGTCAATGAAATTCATGGCTCCACAAACTATTGATAGTGGGCTCGCTTAGGGTCACATTTCACCAAAATATTTCAAATTAGGCTACCAGCATGAAACTTGGTGAAAATGTAGTTGAAGGTACCTAGAATGAAAATCCGTCGAGACCCAAGCTGGATCTCCCATGGTTCCCCGTATTTTGGCCGCCATTTTCAAAGATGGCCGCCATAAGCTGATTTCCATTATTATCTCATGTTCCAGGCGTTCTAACTTAGGTACCCTTGAACATGAAATTTGGCAGGAATATACTTGAGTGTGTCTAGAATGAGGAAAAATTGACATTTAAGTCCAGTCGGCCATTCTGAAAATTAGCGGTTTAGCGCCGTTATACTCCACGATTTATCAGATTTTCGCGGCTGGGTTGTAATGAGATAAATGAAATTTGGCAGGAATATCATAAACATGTTAAGAACAAAAATCTATCGAGACCCAAGTTCAGTCGGCCATCTTTATTCTGGCTAATGACCGCCATTTTGGAAACTAACAGCCCAGTCCTGCTCCTCCGCGTTTTCTCAGATTTGCGCGGCTATTTTGCAGCTGGACGCATGAATTTTGGCAGGAATATCCATGAGTGTGTTAAAAATAGAAATTCATTGAGACCCAAGTTTGGTCAGCCATTTTACTGCCGAACTTGACCGCCATCTTGGAAAAAAGCTGATTGCCCTGTTCCTCCGAGGTTTGTCGGATTTTCGTGGCTGTTTTGAAGCTAGACGCGTAAAATTTGGCAGGTACACCCACAATTCAGTTGGAAATACAATAACGTCAATATCCTAGTTCCGCCGTCTCTTCACTTATGTTATTAACTGCCATTTTGGAAATAGCGTACCATTTACTGAACTCCAGCTGGCCGACCACATTTTTGTATGTTTCTCCGATTTTCGCGGCAAAGTTACCGCCAGAATAATGAAATTTGACCGATTTATACATGAATGCGTCCATACATGTAAAACATGTAATGCAAAAATAGCGGATGGAAGAACTCTTACCAACTGACAATGTGAAATATGTTCTTCCACACGCCAATTCCAATTTCCTCGAACAGGGAGCCAAGATATTGTAAAATAATGATAAACCAACTGCAAACGTGCAAGGTTTAACTTGCAGAGCACCTCTCTTTGCACATATGATGGGTATTGTGATCCAAAATGAATTCTGAAATCTATCTAAAACAAATCTCTATTCTAAATAAACCTAAGATGTAACGGGTTTGATACGCATTTTTACATTTAGTTAGAAGAAGAATATTGTTTTGAGTGCGCGAAACAGAAATTATGAAAATATCAACAATATTTTTGGCTAATTTTGGCGCAAACCAAAAGTGTAGTTGCAGCAGCCAGAAGTCTGCCGCGTTAAGGAAAAATGCCGCATGAACCCTCAGGTGTTGCCAAATTTTGTTTCATAAAACGCAAATATCCTGGTAAATTTATGAATATTTGCCGCCCAATTTTTCAAACAATTTAGTTCGCAATGTTACCTGAAGATTCTAAAATATAAAGGAAAATAAATATTCATAACTTTCCTCATGAATAAACATTTTATTGGAGGAGATGTGGCAACACTCGAATGTTCATACGGCGTTCTTCCTTAGCACGGCAGAAGTGTGGTTGAATCAACCATACCTCTGGCCGTAGAAACTCCACCTCCCGCTGCCGCTGAAATCAGCCAGAAACTTATGTATTTGAAAGTATCACACTTCTTTTCCCACACATTGCTTCTATTATCCATAGAATAATCTTTTCCCATCTAAGTTTGCACGAATTTAATACTAATATTTATGTTTTTATCTTTCTTTCTTTCTTTCTTATCTCTTTCTGGATATAAAAAGAAAAATTCTCCACCATTGGGCCACTGAGTGGGAACATTCCTCTGATGCTAAATGCCCCCCTGCATTACCTTCTTCAACTTCATCTGAAAACTTTCATTTGACTCGACTTCAACAAGTAGTCCAAACTAGACTAAGAATTGGTCACACAAATTTTTCCCATAGCTATTTGATGACCCAAACAAACCGACCTGCTTTCACTTCCTGTCCAAATTCCCCCTTAACCATAGAGAAAAAAAAGGAGGTGTTTGCAGTTCGGGCATCTTGGAAATTTTTTGATGATTTGATGATGTAGGTCGGTACAGCGACGTTTATCCTGTCGATTTTCTTGGAAATGGTGTAATTTAAGGGAAAAAATCATTCTGTAAAAAGTGCTTAAAATTATATAATGAGTTGATTTAAGTAAAAAAATCGGACATTATGGTTCGTTTTTCATATTTCGAATTCCGGATTTCGCTGGCCGGGTTGTGACGACCTACGTCACAGGGTAAACAAACCTCAAGATGCAAACACCCCCTTTTTTTCTCTATGCCCCTTAACAGTAGATCACGTTCTTATAAGTTGCCCACTTTATGAAGAAATCCGAAAACGTTTCTTCCCCTCCCCCTTACCCTCTCTTAAAAATTTACTTCTGAATACTCACCCTGTAAAACTTTTTGAATTTATGCGCTCCACTAAACTTAAAATTTAACCTTTCCCTCAACCCTTTTGTATTTTCACTGGTGTAACCTTGATTTCCATGCTCTTCCCCCCTCAACCCTTTTGTATTTTCACTGATGTAGGTAACCTTGATTTCAATGTAACGACACAGAGGTGTAAATGGCCTTAGATGGCAAAGCACCGCTTCAAAATAAACTTATTTTAATGTACTACTACTACCACTACCATTACCACTACCACTACCACTACCACTACCACTACCACTACCACTACCACTACCACTACCACTACCACTACCACTACCACTACCACTACCACTACCACTACCACCACCACCACCACGACCACCACCACCACCACCACCACCACCACCACCACTACCACTACCACTACCACTACCACTACTACTACTACTACTCAAACGAATTAAATTACAGTGTTGTATAGGGATTATTATTCAATATGGCAACGCTGTAAAAAAGAAAGTATTGCATGTTGCCCCTTCAAAATGCGGGTTATGCAATCGTCTAATGTTGCCCCTTCAATCTGTGGGTTATGCAATGGTGTATTTTTCAAGATGGCGGTTACACAGTTGCCGAACGGGGCATGTAAATAAATTATTTAATTATTGGTGAAATTTTGCAACATTGCATTTTACAGTGTTGCCAGATGGTGCGAAAAATTAGTGGATTTTTTCGATACAATGTTGCCAGATTGTGCAAAAAAATTCGGATTTTCGGACTTGTAAAATTTTTCCGTTTCGAGAGACCGTATCTTGCAGTATGGGTCGGTATCGGATACTGTAGATTAGGGTCTGATTCGGGAAAATTGGAAAATATTCGGAAAATCACCATCCTCCGATCCGTTGCGGACCGATGCGATTCTTTTCCATAATCGAGGATCGGAAAACTGTACGGACCGAATTTCGATACGACTTTTCGTTTTCGAGATTTCGGACTTGTAAAATTTTCGGCTTCGAAAGACCGTATCTTACGGTTTGGAGCCCTTTCACCCAAACTTTTTCCCCCAAAAGTCAAAAGATCCAAAGCCAGTTTCCCCATTGCCCCTTCATCCAAATTCACCGAGAAAATTTTTCCCAAAGAATTTTCACCCAGCATTTTCATCCAAATTTCACCCATGAATGAAAATCCGTATTTATTAGATTATTTGAATTACTAGGCAATTTAGGTGACTCACGATGATTAGGCAATGTTGTGGCCTATTGCTCTCAAGTAATCCAGCTCTGTGATGAAAAACTGATTGATAATGGTTCCACAGAACTGGACTGTACCTCGGAGGTTGCACCCTGTATCGGCGCCGAACGCGCTCTCTTGATCCATTGACGTAAGTTCTGTCAAAATATTTTGCCAATTCTTCCATGCTCTATGGTAATGTTGGCTTCAACATATTGAACACTCGCGAAACATCTTCTGCAGGAACAAACGCCGGCGCCAACAATTGAGAAAACCCATTTTTGACTTCCCTATTTTCCGGGTCATTGTAGGTGACTTGTAACCCAATACTCTGCAAATGTCTCCATACACTTTGTGATAGATGGAAAAAACAAAGTAGGATGGTGGATTGTGGGTAAACTTGTTTGACGGAGTTGATGATTGCCAATTCGAAGTCAGACATAATAGATCGTGGATGAGGAGCTGCGAAACCCAATTCAACACATTTATCCGCGACTGCTCTCAGAGCTGCTCGGTAAGACTCTGTTGTTTTATTTGGCAGCAATGCATACACGAGAGGAAACACTGCACCATGGACCGTTCCATGGATTGTGAAAATTTGCGTGAAAATGTGCAGGCAAGTTTTAAAAGTCCCGTCCAAGAAAATAATCATTGACCGGCTCAACAAAGACAGATTTTGTGTGGTTCCGAACACAATTATTCTATTAGGATTCTGATAAATTTCTTCTTCGTCTGAACTGTCTTCTTCGTCTTCTGCATCAAATGAGTCGAAAATGTTGAAATTGTCACGGTTTTTTGTGCTTCTAAATTGCGGAGGGATTCCTCTTAAGGCTGTGATGTCGGTGGGATTCGTAGGAACGTTGGCGATCCTCTTCTTGTTTAAAGTTCTTTTCATGGTCTCTCTCTCTGGTAGTAGAGGAAGGACAAGTGAGTCAACCTCACCTAATTTCTCCCTGATCAACAGGCTAGGTTTTGCTTCCGGATGAACTGCTGCTTCTTCCTTCAACTCGGCGTAAATCCTCTTTGCTA